TAAATTGTTTGTTTTACATTAGTTAGGCCCGAGCGCCACCAGGCTGGCCACTGGGACTATTGTAATGGAAAGTGTGCATAAAACACTGAAACCCCTCAAACATAATCATGTCATGGTACATGATTCCTGGACGTACACTGTACTAAAACTCTGCATTGAAACATTGTTGATGTACAGAGGACCATAAAGTCATCAAGCTGCAAGTCACTGACATTATATTAAACGGACACAAACACCTTTTAGGGCTGCATTTGGTTTTGTGAACTGTTGTTGTGAATGTAAACACATTTTACTCTTATCTAGGTGACAGTTCACACTCTGGCCGAGGCATTTCACCTGCCCTCTGCAAGAGGGCCAATTAAAATTCATAAAGGGGCCAAAGTCGAGTGAACCATGGTAAGATTATTTAAATATTGATAGGCAGTATTTCACTGTGCCACTGCACAATCTAATCTGTGCTTGTTCATTTCATGGACAGTGAGTTTCAAATGATTGCAAATGATATGGTGAGGCATTTTACAGAGGAGGCAGCCAGGAGGCTGAAAGCTTTCAAGAGAATGGAGATTGGCGCTTCTCTTCCTCTGAGCTTTTCTCTCATGATTATAATAAAAGAGATTTTGTTTTGTGTTGAATATCCTATTCAGTGGTTACATTTCAGAGCCATTCAGATAACACAAATCGATAAAAATAAGCCATTGTACATAAAATGCCAGAAACACATTTTGTGCTTTTTGTTTAATCTCCCTCTTCTACATACAAATTTGGACACAAACACAATTGTAATGACTGTCTGCTTGTCCCAAAGGCCAAAGTTGGGCACAAAAATGTTATGATGTATCTTCTTTATGCATCAGTAATGTGGCGACTCCATGGGATTGTAGGAGTGTGTGGTGGTGGGTGGTGGTGTAATAATATCTTTTAACTTGTATTGTACTTTTCAATCCTGGTGGGTTGTGCCTCATGTGTGACAAGTTCTCAAAACGCCACACTACTTTCTTCATTTATTTCCACACGTGTGTCACAGTGGGTTGGAGGATGCCAGGCTACTAATCTGTGCTATTGGCCACCACCATGCAGTCTCTCACTATGTCACACATGTGGGTGAAGTGCAGATTGCTCAAGAACATACCTAGACTGCACTTGGGGCAGCCAGGATTTTGAGCCACCAACCATAGGCCCCTTTTATAAATGAATGTACCACATTAGACATACAGCACTGGCATTATTTGACTCTATTAAACGTTTGTCCTGAGCTGCTTCAAATCCCTATTGATTTTGATGTCTGAAGTAATGGCAGGCTTTTGTAGGCAAAATTATACTTGATATTTACAAAATCGTCCATTTCCCCATTAGAATAATATTGACAGATGACATGCGCCATAAAAATTCATTTATTGCGCATAATTCATTGGGCATAGATTGTACTCACTACTACTCATACCCGTATTATAATAGATCCCATGCTCATTACACGAGAGTGGGCGTGGCGAGTAGTTGACGTCACTACGACAGACCACTACTCGAACACGCCTCCGTTATCGCAGGCGCCGACAGATACACTTGAAAAGTCTTAAAACTTTAAATCGATCTAATCCCAAATTATTAAGACAATGTTTTGCCTAATTTCAGCAGTTTTAGACGATTTTCTCATCAACTTTTCACTCTATGGTCGGCTTTATGGCCCTCACAGAACGTCCGTTGGTCGGAATCTTCCGATCTGTGACATCATAGCTAGACCCCGCCCCCTTGTCAATCAGCTACAAACCACAAAAACAACCACTAGTTTATTTAAAAAATGCTTTATGCCAAGTGAGAATACGGACTTGTGGAACGTTGTAACAGCGCTGCCGTACAGAGAGAACGTCAATAATGATCTTTGAAAGAAACACAATCTAGAGAAGAAACACAACCAAGGATCCTGTCGCACAACCCAACATGAGAACAAGGCTTTCCTGGATAGTCAGCCAGAAATGGAGTAAAAATTATATCAAAAGAATCACAGACATTTCTTTAATCCTGCATCGTAGAGTGGAGGAGGAGACTTTGTTTAAAATGTACGTTATTCAAAGTGGTAACCATGGAAACGTTTGAATCCTTCATTCAGTCGTCAAAAAACAGCATATTAAAATTACAGCAAGCAGAGGTTTGAAAACCGGGCCACGCGGGGAAAAGGTGCGATTATGAGCCTTTGAAAGTGAAAGAAAGCTATACACGCTCTGGCTTTTTTGTACCTGTGCTAAAAGTTTATTTCATACAATTTATACAAATAAAAACTGAATGTTAAATGAGATTCGAATGAACTCATTTGAAATCGATATTGATATTTGATGTTTTTTATGTTAAGATGTTGTCTTAGGTGAGAACTTACTATTTTCACTGTTTTAGGACAGAGACGAGCCAGAGAGACCAGAGAGAGACCAGAGAGAGAGACACGGAGAGAGACCAGAGAGAGACCAGAGAGGAGACCAGAGAAGGAGGCCAGAGCGAGGCCAGAGACGAGGCCAGAGAGAGAGGCAGAGAGAGACCAGAGAGAGACCAGAGAGAGACCAGAGAGTGAGACCAGAGAGAGAGGAACACAGAGAGAGACCAGAGAGAGCGTACAGAGAGAGGCCAGAGAGAGCGGCCAGAGAGAGACAGAAGAGAGACCAGAGAGAGACAGAGAGAGACCAGAGGGAGAGGCCACGAGAGACCAGAGAGAGGAACCAGAGAGAGGCCAGAGAGAGAGACCAGAGAGCCACCAGAGAGCGCATTCAGAGAGAGAGCCCAGGAGAGGACCGAGACGAGACCAGAGAGAGGACCAGAGGATGACCAGAGAGAGAGACCAGAGAGACACCAGAGAGACACAGATGAGAGAGACCAGAGAGCGAGACCAGGAGAGAGACCAGAGTGAGTCCAGAGGAGAGACCAGAGAGAGACCAGAGAGAGAGACAGAGAGAGAGACCCGAGAGAGCACCAGGAGAGAGACCATGAGAGAGACCAGAGAGAGGACCAGAGAGAGACCAGAAACGAGCCAGAGGAGAGACCAGAGAGGAGACCAGAGAGAGACCACTCGTGTCTGTTTTGATTTTTGTCCGGTGCTCTGGTCGACGAATCGACAACTTGGTAATGCCGTATGACGAGGCTTAAAAAAAAAATAAAAAAAAAAAGAAAAAAAAAAAAATAAAAAAAAAAAAAAAAAAAAAAAAAAAAAAACAAAAAAAAAAAAAAAAAAAAAAAAAAAAAAAATCATAGTGAATAGAATTGTTGTGATGAAAAAAGTTAAACATTATTTATTTGAAACTTAATAGCGGGAACTAAGTTTTGTTTCGAGATGAAATGTTGTTGTCGCGATTAGAAAAAGTGTCGAGAATGTGGTTTATTGTGGATAAATCGACGTCATCTCCCGCAGGTCATTGTGTGACGGGATCCAACAGTCCTGTGAGTCATATTTGACCTTTGGGCTCAGACAGAAATAAGTCTTAGATTTTTACATGAGCTTTGAAAATAGACGACCACAGCTTTAAGTCTCGCACCAAATGTTAATGCATAAGAACCCAGTGGAACTCTGAAGGAGCACCAGGGACTGGCCTCCTGCTGTGGACTCTGAGGAGACAGAGGACGGGCCTCTGCTGGGACTCTGAGGGCACCAGGGATGGCTCCTGTGGGGACTATGAGCCGAGCCACCAGGGACTGGCCTCCTGCTAAGGACTGAGGAGCACAGGGGGACTGGCCTCCTGTGGGACTGAGGAGCACAGGGACTGGCCTCCTGCAAAGACTCTGAGGAGCACAGGGACTGGCTCCTGCTAAGATCTCTGAGGAGCACAGGGATGGTCTCTCCTGCTGGGACTCTGAGGCGCACAGGATGGCCTCCTGCTATAGACTGAGGAGCACAGGACTGGCCTCCTGCTGGGGACTTGATGGCACAGGGATGGCCTCCTGCTTGGGACTGAGGAGCCACAGGGGATCTGGTCTCCTGCTGGGACTGAGGTCAGCACAGGGACTGGGTGTCTCTGCTGGACTTGAGGAGCACAGGGACTGGCCTCCTGCTAAGACTCCTGAGGACACTCTACCAATACTACCTTTGCGATCGACTGGTAGATCGCGATCGACGTATTGAGCACCCCTGGTCTAAATGATCCAGGACTGGTCAAGTTAGGAAAAAATATCCAAAATTCACCTTGAAAAAACAGGGTATTTTTGAAACACTGTGGTCCAGGTATTAGAGCAAGGGATACGTCTGGAATCACTGTTAATATGGGATCCTACACCTGTCACTCAGTGAATACATCTATCTACTTTCTTTTCAGCTCCAGTTTATTTACACTATCAGCAGATGTGAGGCTCAGGGATGTGAAGCTGGAGACTTGGAGATGGGTCATGCTATCTGCCCAAATGCTTCTAAATTTACTGCAAAATAACTGGAATGTTCTGCAACGGCTAAATCTATCATAGACTCTGAATCTGAGGGAGCAGCATTTCTTCTCTGCACACTCACACACACTCTGCTGAGCTCTGCGTCTCACACACTTCAGCCAATGACTGTAGTATCAAAGTGAATATTTAAACATTATTAGTTCATACAGACACATGTGGAGCCCCAAGTACAGAGTCAGAAATATGAGAATTGTGTCACTGCCGAGCTATGTATCGTCCCAATACATCTTTAAAACCTTCCTCAAGCACCTCTGTTTATGTGAACTGAGCACTTGTAGTTTTCTATAGATGTATAATGACTGGAATCCCCTTGAACGACTCATTCTAATGTCATAGACGAAGAGTAACGTGGATAAAGTCTGAATATTGAGCTTGCGGAGTTCATGCTTGGTTCAGTTTCTCCGAAGCCTTTGTTTATTTTCCATTCACTTTTATAATTTGACCTTTTTGCTTTTGGTTCTTGATTTCTGGCTTTGCTTTGCATGGTGCATGACGGGACTCCCTAAAAGAGAGGGTTGTATCTCTCTTATCTGGTTTTGGGGTTTGAGGCTCGGGGGGGAGGGGGAGGGGGAGAGGGGGGGAGGTAGATGTGGGCGTCTAGTTTCTATTTCGAACCTGATTTTGGTGAGTCCCGGCACACGGCACTGCACACCCGACTCATCTTTTTGTTAACAACCTGTCATCACTCGTGCCTCCCCCTCCCTCCCCCACACACCCCCCCTCTCCCGCTGAAGCAGACGTCCTCGGAGCGCAGAGGGGCCTGGGAGGTGCAGCCGTCGCGTCAGGGAAACTCCTCCTACCTCAGCTCCCACCTGGCTGCAGACAGGCACGGGGGCTCAGTGCAGGTACCACCCCCGCTCCTCTGTCCTGGGTCTGGGCCACATCTGTCTCAGACCAGACCGTTCCGTAGTATCGCGGTATTTGGGCCACAATTCAATAATATTGCGATTCTTAACATATCTCAATTCTTAACATATCTCGATTCTTAACATATCTCGATTCTTAACATATCTCAATTCTTAACATATCTCGATTCTTAACATATCTCGATTATTAACATATCTCGATTATTAACATATCTCGATTCTTAACATATCTCGATTCTTAACATATCTCGTTTCTTAACATATCTCGTTTCTTAACATATCTCGATTCTTAACATATCTCGATTATTAACATATCTCGATTCTTAACATATCTCGATTCTTAACATATCTCGATTATTAACATATCTCGATTCTTAACATATCTCGATTCTTAACATATCTCGATTCTTAACATATCTCGATTCTTAACATATCTCGATTCTTAACATATCTCGATTCTTAACATATCTCGATTCTTAACATATCTCGATTCTTAACATATCTCGATTCTTAACATATCTCGATTCTTAACATATCTCGATTCTTAACATATCTCGATTCTTAACATATCTCGATTCTTAACATATCTCGATTCTTAACATATCTCGATTCTTAACATATCTCGATTCTTAACATATCTCGATTCTTAACATATCTCGATTCTTAACATATCTCGATTCTTAACATATCTCGATTCTTAACATATCTCGATTCTTAACATATCTCGATTCTTAACATATCTCGATTCTTAACATATCTCGATTCTTAACATATCTCGATTCTTAACATATCTCGATTCTTAACATATCTCGATTCTTAACATATCTCAATTCTTAACATAATACAGACGGGATGTGACGATTCATCTCAGAGGAACAGAAACCTCAGATGGAAATGACCAAAGTAAACTCAGAGAAAAGTTAAACAGATCATTATTAAAAACGTATCACAATACTTTGCAACTGTATTGATTTTATTCTGTGCACAAAATATTGCGATACTGAACAGAATTTGAGTTTTTTCCCACAACTGGGATAAATATGTATTTCTATGCTTAATAAAAATTCTCTCTTGGATAAGTTGTGACCCGGTCGTGGTCCCAGATTAGTGTCCCGGCTCTAAAGAGTCCATGAGCACCTGCCCTGACATGCCTGTAATCTGGCTCCTTACCTGTGGGGGTGTACCCGGAAACAGAATTATCCGATGAATTCTTATGGCACCGTTTTCCCTCATAAAGTAGTACTAGAATTTAATATGCTGCTATCCAGAATATAAAACTACAATATGTGTTCATAATATTTTGGGTGTTCATTTTGACATGTTCAGATGAATTATGTTTAAAAAACGGCTTTGAAGTGGCACCTTTTCACTTCCGCATAGAAACGCTAGGGAGGGTCAAAATGGTTGTGAGATTCAAGCTAATTAGTGTTGGGCAAGTTAGCTAACTCTACTTGATATCATAAAACATGCTAACAAGGCTAATATTCGTATTCACATTATGCCAGTCTCACTTTGCCTTAGATTTATTTACCACAATGTACATTGTAATATTCAAAAATGCTAACACCTATTAACGGTTTAATTAGCATTTTTATCCATGATTGCATCACATGTCGTCTATGTTTTCAACTTCTGCAGCTTTTTGTTCATAAAAGTAAGATATTTATTTAATTCAAGTTATTTTGAGTAGCATTTATGGATATTACAATGTACATTGTGGTAAATAAATCTAAGGCAACCAAAGTGAGACTGGCATAATGTAAAAACAAATATTAGCCTTGTTAGCATGTTTTATGATATCAAGTAGAGTTAGCTAACTTGCCCAACACTAATTAGCTTGAATCTCACAAATAAGGCTAAAAGGTTAAAAGAGTTGCACACTATTATGTACAAAACGGATGAAAATATGTTTATACCTTGTTCAGATGACAGTGAAACCTCCTACAGATTCAGCCCAGACTGCTGCTGCTGCTGTGAGAGGTCCTTCTCCTACGTCATCGCCGCCATTTTGGCGCCCCCTAGCATTTGTTATAAGGTGCCACTTCAAAGCCGTTTTTTTAACATAATCCATCTGAACATGTCAAAATGAACACCCAATATATTATAAACACATATTTTAGTTATATATTCTGGATAGCAGCATATTCAATTCTAGTACTACTTTAAATAACAGCTTTACAGCCTCCTTCAAAAGTCGCTCTTGGTCCAACGCATGCGCAAAAACATTTTTCCTCCATTTCCTGTGGGAGGGGCTACTTGCGGCCATTTTAAAAAGGTCCATGTTGATCACACATCACTTCCTCCTTAATATTTGGCGTCTCAGTCGCCGACAGACGTGGCCCTGCTCCTGCTCCCTCTCAGGTTGTCGCTGCTGCATGTGTCTTGGGTCTTGGAGGTTTTGTTTGTGACGCAGTCTGAGCTTCTCTGTTTTGGGTTCTTGCTGATGGCGGACAAAGACCTGATGGACTGTTTGGAATATTTATGTCTAAACTGAAAGTGTTCTATTCACAGACTGCTCTAGTTTATAAGTTTAATCTAGTCTAGTTCCTGTTTAACCTGTGGGACAGAGGCAGAAAGTGTAGAAGAGATTTACTTTTCTTTTTGTTTTACACAATGAAGGTGTTTGGACTTTAATGTGACTTTAGTTTCAAAATGTGTTTATTGTTTCGATTGAACCAAAACCAAATATAAAGTTTGACACGTTGTTTTATGTAATGATTGAACTTCTAATGATGTTTTGGATTAACATTTTAGAAAACATTTAACTTGGAGATTTTACTGAGAAAATAGATGATGACATGCCATGGTCGCCCATAACCATAATATTCATAACTTTTGCACTCTCTGGTCTCTCTCTGGTCTCTCTCTGGTCTCTCTCTGGTCTCTCTCTGGTCTCTCTCTGGTCTCTCTCTGGTCTCTCTCTGGTCTCTCTCTGGTCTCTCTCTGGTCTCTCTCTGGTCTCTCTCTGGTCTCTCTCTGGTCTCTCTCTGGTCTCTCTCTGGTCTCTCTCTAGTCTCTCTCTAGTCTCTCTCTAGTCTCTTTCTAGTCTCTTTCTAGTCTCTCTCTAGTCTCTTTCTAGTCTCTCTCTGGTCTCTCTCTGGTCTCTCTCTGGTCTCTCTCTGGTCTTTCTGGTCTCTCTCACAATATTGAAACATTCAAATCTGTTCCCAAATGGATCAGAGCTCTTGGAGAAGATAAAGACTGAGGAATAACTGTTGTTTCTTCTGTTGTGATGTCACGTTTGATGATGTCACGTTTGATGTCACGTTTGATGATGTCACGTTTGATGATGTCACGTTGGATGATGTCACGTTGGATGATGTCACGTTTGATGATGTCACGTTTGATGATGTCACGTTTGATGATGTCATGTTTGATGATGTCACGTTGGATGATGTCACGTTTGATGATGTCACGTTTGATGATGTCACGTTTGATGATGTCATGTTTGATGATGTCACGTTTGATGATGTCACGTTTGATGATGTCATGTTTGATGATGTCACATTTGATGATGTCATGTTTGATGTGTTGTGACTCCAGGTGGTGAGTTCCACCAATGGGGAGCTGAACGCGGACGAGCCGGTCCACTCCAACGCACCGATCACGGCCCACACGGAGGTGGAGGTGGTGGATGAGGCCAAGTACGTACGCTTTACTCTCTCGCCCCCTGGTGACGAGGAGGTGTCACTGTGCTCTCCTCTCACTGTGAACCTGACTCAGCAACACGTCACATGAGGGGGGTCTCTCACATTTATCCATCAATCTTCATCTGTAGGGTGCTTATAAGATAAATATAGATACAGGAGAGAGACTAGAGAGAGAGACTAGATAGACCAGAGAGAGAGACCAGAGAGAGAGACCAGAGAGAGACCAGAGAGAGAGACCAGAGAGAGAGACCAGGGAGAGAGACCAGAGAGACCAGAAAGAGAGACCAGAGAGAGAGACCAGAAAGAGAGACCAGAGAGAGAGACCAGAGAGAGAGAGGCCAGAGAGAGGCCAGAGAGAGACCAGAGAGAGACAGAGAGAGACCAGAGAGAGACCAGAGAGAGAGAGACCAGAGAGAGACCAGAGAGAGAGACCAGAGAGAGAGACCAGAGAGAGAGACCAGAGAGAGAGACCAGAGAGAGAGACCAGAGAGAGAGACCAGAGAGAGAGACCAGAGAGAGAGACCAGAGAGAGAGACCAGAGAGAGAGACCAGAGAGAGAGACCAGAGAGAGAGACCAGAGAGAGAGAGACCAGAGAGAGAGACCAGAGAGAGAGACCAGAGAGAGAGACCAGAGAGAGAGACCAGAGAGAGAGACCAGAGAGAGAGACCAGAGAGAGAGACCAGAGAGAGAGAGAGAGAGACCAGAGAGAGAGACCAGAGAGAGACCAGAGAGAGACCAGAGAGAGACCAGAGAGAGACCAGAGAGAGAGACCAGAGAGAGACCAGAGAGAGAGACCAGAGAGAGACCAGAGAGAGAGACCAGAGAGAGAGACCGAGAGAGAGAGAAGAGAGAGAGAGAGACCAGAGAGAGACAGAGAGAGAGAGAGGCCAGAGAGAGAGAGGCCAGAGAGAGAGAGGCCAGAGAGAGAGAGGCCAGAGAGAGAGAGGCCAGAGAGAGAGAGGCCAGAGAGAGAGAGGCCAGAGAGAGAGAGGCCAGAGAGGAGAGAGGCCAGAGAGAGAGAGAGCCAGAGAGAGAGAGGCCAAGAGAGAGACCAGAGAGAGAGACCAGAGAGAGAGACCAGAGAGAGAGACCAGAGAGAGAGACCAGAGAGAGAGGCCAGAGAGAGAGGCCAGAGAGAGAGGCCAGAGAGAGACCAGAGAGACCAGAGAGAGAGAGACCAGAGAGAGAGAGGCCAGAGAGAGAGAGGCCAGAGAGAGACCGGCCAGAGAGAGACCAGAGAGACCAGAGAGAGAGACCAGAGAGAGAGACCAGAGAGAGAGACCAGAGAGAGAGACCAGAGAGAGAGACCAGAGAGAGAGACCAGAGAGAGAGACCAGAGAGAGAGACCAGAGAGAGAGGCCAGAGAGAGAGGCCAGAGAGAGACCAGAGAAACACAGACCGCTGATACAAGGAAAAAACAATAAATCATAAAAATCACACTGGATGTCATACTTTAGTTTAGCCCTCACTAATTAACAACTAATTATGAATAATGTATAGTTATTTAGCTCTTAATTGTTAATTAGTCCTTATTCTACACTTTCTCCTTCAACATCTGACGATATCATTCATGAGCCTATCGTTCAGCTGGTCATACTCAGGGACATGTCATTAAAGAAGACGTTCTGTCAGAATGAATATTTACATTAAGAAAAACATTTGTCATTTCTTTGTGGATCGTACATTTCTGATCCAAGAGGAGTCAGTGCATCTGTGACTCCTGTCTGCTCGTGCTGGTCCTCTCGTGCTGGTCCTGTCCCTTCTGTGCTTTGATATGAGCTCTGCCTGCTTCTGCTTCTCCGTCTGTGTCTTACTAACCTCTGTATGTAACAGCTTCATGTTTTATCACAACGACAGCTCTAACCTCCGGCTTGTCTCTGTCCTGGGGGGTCCTTGGGGGTCCTGGGGGGAACATGACATACGGCTGTTCCAACGGGGCTTTAATGAGTCGATAACTGAGATTTATATGTGCAGTTTAGATCAGTCTACTTTAGCCCTTAAAGGTACACTGTATAGTTTTTACTCCCATCTAACGTTGAGATCATATATTGTAATTTCCGGCACTACGCTGGCTTCGAAGGACAATGTATTCCAAGATGGAGGACATACGGAGTCCTCAGCCTCAGACATTTATGAGTCACATTCTAAGTCTATGACAATTCAAACACATGGTGCAGGTAAATATTCTTAAAAAGGTAACATTTGTTTTTTCATTTGGAGCCAACAAAATGAAAAACATGGGAAGAAGCTGGAACATGGCTTATCTAGGGGCCAGAAGAGTCATTGATTATTCTAAGATCTGGATTCATTGAACCTCCAGAACAGAGCACCTCTCTGGTCTCTCTCCGGTCTCTCTCTGGTCTCCCTCTCTGGTCTTTCTCTACTTGCTCTTCTAGTCTCACTCTAGTCTCTCCCTAGTCTCTCTCTCTGTTTTTTTTTCTATCTAGTCTCTGGTCTTTCTAGTCCCTCTCTCTATGGCCTCTCTCTATGGCCTCTCTCTATGGCCTCTCTCTCTGGTCTCTCTTGTCTCTCTTGTCTCTCTGGTCTCTCTCTGGTCTCTCTAGTCTCTTTCCGGTCTCTCTCTGGCCTCTCTGGTCTCACTCTGGTCTTGCTTGTCTCAGTCTGGTGTTGGATATAAGCAGAAATGTCCTTGATTAAAACTTATGATTGACTATCTTTTGGGTTCAATGTGAGAAGAGTCAAAGCAATTATGTGGTTATTTGATCAGAAATGTGACGTGAAAGAGGGACAGAGAGATGGAAATACAGAGAGAGAGACGGAGAGAGTGAGACAGAGAGTGAGACAGAGAGTGAGACAGAGAGTGAGACAGAGAGTGAGACAGAGAGTGAGACAGAGAGTGAGACAGAGAGTGATACAGAGAGTGAGACAGAGAGGGAGACAGAGAGAGTGAGACAGAGCGAGAGAGTGAGACAGAGATACAGAGAGAGAAAAAGAGATACAGAGAGAAAAATAGATACAGAGAGAGACAGAGAGGGTGAGACAAAGGGTGTGAGACAGAGGGTGTGAGACAGAGTGAGACAGAGAGAGTGAGACAGAGAGAGTGAGACAGAGAGAGTGAGACAGAGAGAGTGAGACAGAGTGAGTGAGACAGAGTGAGTGAGACAGAGTGAGTGAGACAGAGTGAGTGAGACAGAGTGAGTGAGACAGAGTGAGTGAGACAGAGTGAGTGAGACAGAGTGAGTGAGACAGAGAGTGAGACAGAGAGTGAGACAGAGAGGGAGACAGAGAGAGTGAGACAGAGCGAGACAGAGATACAGAGAGAGAAAAATAGATACAGAGAGAGACAGAGAGGGTGAGACAAAGGGTGTGAGACAGAGGGTGTGAGACAGAGTGAGACAGAGAGAGTGAGACAGAGAGAGTGAGACAGAGAGAGTGAGACAGAGTGAGTGAGACAGAGTGAGTGAGACAGAGTGAGTGAGACAGAGTGAGTGAGACAGAGTGAGTGAGACAGAGTGAGTGAGACAGAGAGAGTGAGACAGAGAGAGTGAGACAGAGAGAGTGAGACAGAGAGAGTGAGACAGAGAGAGTGAGACAGAGAGAGTGAGACAGAGACAGAGAGAGTGAGACAGAGAGTGAGAGAGTGAGACAGAGAGAGTGAGACAGAGAGAGTGAGACAGAGAGAGTGAGACAGAGAGAGTGAGACAGAGAGAGTGAGACAGAGATAGTGAGACAGAGAGAGTGAGACAGAGAGAGTGAGACAGAGAGAGTGAGACAGAGAGAGTGAGACAGAGAGAGTGAGACAGAGAGAGTGAGGCAGAGAGAGTGAGGCAGAGAGAGTGAGGCAGAGAGAGTGAGGCAGAGAGAGTGAGGCAGAGAGAGTGAGGCAGAGAGAGTGAGGCAGAGAGAGATACAGAGAGAGAGATACAGAGAGAGATACAGAGAGAGAGATACAGAGAGAGTGAGACAGAGAGAGATACTTTAGTGATCAATGCAGGTGTCCAGCAGGGTTAATGCTGTATACAGTTCCAGATCTACACTTTTACTGTTCAGGCCCTCCCATCTCCCCCATGTCTCCCTCGTCTCCCCCTCATGTCCCCCCTCCCTGTCCCGGCTGTGAGTGCATGTGCATTGGCATGCCCGGTGTCCGTCCCGCTGTAATAATCTGTCTCTTCTCTTCACTTTCCTCTTGTGCCTTTAGCTGCGTGAAAATGCTCAACCTGTGGTGAGTCCCACTGTCAGTCCACTCAGACTCAGGGGGAGAGAGAGGGGGAGAGAGGGGGCGAGTCCCACTGTCAGTCCACTCAGACTCAGGGGGAGAGAGAGGGGGAGAGAGGGGGCGAGTCCCACTGTCAGTCCACTCAGACTCAAGGGGAGAGAGAGGGGGCGAGTCCCACTGTCAGTCCACTCAGACTCAGGGGGAGAGAGAGGGGGAGAGAGGGGGCGAGTCCCACTGTCAGTCCACTCAGACTCAGGGGGAGAGAGGGGGGAGTCCCACTGTCAGTCCACTCAGACTCACGGGGAGGGAGAGGGGGAGTCCCACTGTCAGTCCACTCAGACTCATGACAGAGAGGAAGAGAGGGGTGAGAGAGGGAGAGAGGAGGACAGGGGTGAGGAGGGGAGAGAGGAGGGGACGGGGGAGAGAGCGTAGGGGGCTGTACTAAGAGCAGGAGGCGTTAAGATGAACGATCACACTTTAACCTAAAGGAAACTTGTCGACGAAGGAGAGACGCCAGAACCGACCTGTGCGGCCCTCGTCTGTCGCTGCTGAAGGCCCTAAAAATATTGTAAACATGAAAAGGACACAGCGGCTCCTGTGGAATTTCAGATTTAAGCCTGTGGTAAAAACCGGAATAATAATGTCGACTACAAGCTCTCCTCATTGGATCTGTTTCTCTGAGACTCTGCTTTGGTCTCTTGTTGATTGACAGCTGTCCTCGTAATAATAATCCTTGTAAACTTGTGTGATTTTTGGGCAAAACCGGACTGAAACAGTTTTAGACCCAGCAGCTAGAAACATGGATTTATTTAAAATTATCTACTTAAACTATGACGGCTGAAACAGAGACTGAGGAGGTGAGGGCACTTGCAGAAAGGACAAGGGGCTTCAGTCTACGGCAGTGTTTTTCAACAGCTGTGCCGTGATATTGTCTGGTGTGCCGTGAGAAATTTGCCAACTTTGTCTAAAAATAACTGCATTCACTTTTGCAGAGCGCGGACTTGAACTGTAGAGTTACCACATAATACTTTTTCAGGTCAGTAGGTGGCAGCAGAGAGCTAAGTACTTTGAAATGTAGGTATTGGATTCAACCACCAAATGTAACAAGTAGCGGGGTGGCGAGAAATGTGAGAATTGGACGCGACCAACCAACGTCAAAGGCAGCGGGGAGAATTTTGGCGAGTGAGAAGTAAAACTCCTGAATTTAAAGCTCGGATACCTACATTTTCCCCATGCATTAAAAATGCATGTTATTTGTGCAAAAAGTAAAATGTTGTGAACAAATCAAACAGAACACACAGCAGGGCTTTTTTTTAAATCATTATTGTTAACACATAAGAGCCCTCCGAGTCATTATTTGACTTTTTGGGCTGAGAGTGGATTTTTGTATGTTTTTTCCCCCATAGTTAGTGCCACTTTATTCCCAAACTCTTGTTAACTAATTGTATTGAGCAATATTAAACCAAGCTTAATGTCAAGGCCTGGATTTAAGCACTTTGATAAGAATGACTTTATATTGTAAGTATAGGCTATAGAGTATATATTTTTACATTTTCTCCTGGTGCTGTGCCGCAAGATTTTTTTCAATGAAAAAGGTGTGCCTTGGCTCAAAAAAGGTTGAAAAACACTGGTCTAAAGCCTAGTTTATACTCGCGCGGCGCGGAGCTTACGGAGGTAACGTGACGTCACTTGCGCAACGCGTTGGTCACCGCAAGGCCCTTACGTCGCCTGCCGCGCAGCATCGAAATTTTCTAACTACGTAAGGGTCGCCGCAAGGAATCTCCGCTGTGATTGGTCCGTGTGTGTGTATTGGAAGGAAGCACGGAGCGGCTGCAGCAGGAGCATGGACGAGGCACTATGGAGCAGAAAGCTTTGTGCTTCGAAGGAAAAGCAGTTTGGGCTCAGAGCCTGATATACAGGAGACTGTGGACTATCTAACATATATATAACTTATAAGTTATATATATGTTAGATATAAGTTATATATATGTTAGATATAAGTTATATATATGTTAGATATATCTAACATATATATAACTTATATCTAACATATATATATGTTAGATATAAGTTATATATATGTTAGATATAACATATATATAACTTATATCTAACATATATATAACTTATATCTAACATATATATATAACTTATAAACTGTTCCTGTCTTGTTTGAATCGTAGCTGCGTTTGTTGCTTTCCTCCTGCACTCGTAAATCGTTCATGTTTGTCTCAGATATTTACCACTATTATTGTTTTGCTGTTTGTGCTGAAAACTATTTAATAATAACTATGTTTCCAACAGAACTGTATCTTTATTCACAGCATCACAGTTGAAATGACTTATAAAATAATGAATCCATAAAACTATCACATAAACCTACAGTAGAAACACGTGTAATGAGCTCAAACAGCTTTGTTTGTTATTGTTGTTCTGAAGAGGACAAAGTAGCAGCGTAAATGGAACCGCTCCTGTGTGATCGCCCTCATGTGGTTTGTTGTGGGATTACAACATTCTCCTCAAAACTCCGTAAGGGGAACGCGCCAGTATAACATCAATTGTGCTTACGTAGGTCCACCGCAACCGCTAACGTAAGCCACGCCGCGCAAGTATACACTAGGCTTAAGGGACCGGACTTAGTAAACGTCCACAACCACCAGGGGGAGCCATAGCACTGTCTCTATGCCTCACTACACTGACCAAAGCCTGTTCCCTTCTGTCTCTGTGACTGTCATTCAAACCCTGAGCTTTTCTCTGGAGCGTGGTTTTGACTTGTCCTCTCCTCGCTCTCAGGTGCTGCTGTTTCTTCAAGCGAAAGAGGAAGAAGAGCTCCCCTCGTCACAAATGAAGGCCCGGCCGAGCTTTTTAGCAAACCTTGAACACCCCGGCGGCCGCTTTGAGACCAGGACCAGCGCCGCAGAACCAGTCAGAACCAGGGCCGCGGGACCAGCAGCGAGAGACGTCTTAAAGGAAGAAGTCCTGCGCTTCTCTCCTTCAAACATGTACGGGATTTGTTTTAGTTTTTACACGTCCCAGCAAAACCTCCCATCGCCATCACTTCAAATTGCCTTTTTCGTTTTTGAGGAACAAGTTTAGTTGTTGCTTACTCACCTGCCACAAAGGTCTGCCGTTGAACTGAATGTAATTACCAAAAGGAACGCCATTTCGATCTTTGGCGGAATCGTAGCTTGGCGTCCACGCATCTTTTCGCCCCCTTTTCGTTCCGTAACAAGCGGCAAACTAGCAAACACCGGCTAACTCCATGCTATTTATGATACTCATGCTAACACAACTCACAATACATACACGCTGAATGTATGGACGAGCATTTATATACTCCGCACGGAAGGAAAGACGGTGGAAAAGGAGACCAGAGCCGACGGTGAAGTTCCACGGCGTTTATTTGAGGTATGTATCGGCGAAACCCGGGGGACGGGAGATCACTCGCAGCTTGCTACTGTCCAATGCCTTAACCCAAACCCCCTCAAGACTCCATAACTTTCGCTAAAACTTCTCGCAGCGCAGTTCCGGCACCAAGAAGCCTCAAGTGGTGATCTCTGCTCTCTCCATCGTTCCAGGAAAATGTATTGAGCGATGCCAAATGGGAGCGCTAACCCAGCCCTGGGCTAAAGCAGCGTTAGCATGTCTGTACAATGTTTTTGCTGTTATTTTAGATTTCTGTTGGAGGACTGCCTTGAACCCCCTCGTTCTGTCACTTTGCCTCCGAACACACAGCGAATGACTCTTTATTTTTTTATTTGATGTTTATAATGTGAACCGTGTCGAATGCAACGATGTGTTTCGTTCCAAATAGCCATGTTTTATCTTGTTTTTCTCCTTTTGTTTGTTGGTGTGGTTTCTGTCTGTGGAAATAGACTGCACTAAGTTGTTGACTGAAGCAAAGCGGATTATACTGTGTGTGCTACGGTGGCCCCAGAGGACAAAAGTCACAGGTTCAAATCCCAGAAACATGACTCCTATTTTCATTTTGTTATTGCCTCCGGATGAATTGTATCGCCCTAAATCACAACAGTAGTTATCTCTGAGTTATCTCTGAGGCCAAACACAGATCAGAGAATCAAACCGTTCAGATAATTCAGATGGTTCAGTTATTTGGAATTTCTACTTAAGACACTATTTGTGCTTGAACCAAAATATTAAAACTATTTCCAAACTACAGAGATGGAAAACCTGAAAAAGTCACAGAAAATTCAAATGGCTTTTTGCTTGTAATTGTTATGTCGGCCTGTAGGGGGCGACCTTTTATATAGTTTTATAAGTCATTATAAATCTAGTCTGAGATCGATGGCTTCTTACACAAGTATTCAATGGTTCATTTATGACAGAATCCGGCCACTCTTTGCACATTTCAAACAGACATTTCTACCTTTTGTATAAATGGTAGATAAATAACTCTGTACTGAACAGAATCCATTTGAGATTGCTTTTGGTGCCGCGACCTCGAGGGCCACCGTACTTCTGTGTTTATTTTGTGCCATAACTTTCTCTTGTTGCATGATCGCCACCGTCGACCACAAATGAACACTGTAAAACTGTCTGCTCCACATTTTCCTAAGTTATTGTCTTAATTACTTGAATATTAAAGTAAATCATGAGGGATCTTATGTTTTTATTTTTATTTGTTTTGCTTTGTAAATCAACATGGTGTATTTATCGTTATATAGAGAACAGAGCTGATCGGACCGGGTCTCAGTCTCAGTCCACAGCCCCACAGTCGGATTGTGGATCCTGACTCAGAGCATTTAAAACACACTTTAAAGATGCAGTCAGTGATTTTTTCCAGACGCATTTTTTTTGTTTTTTATATTTTTGGGAAACGTCCCTAAACCCTAAAAGTATAAAGTTATGTGTTTTTAAATAGTAATGGAATTGCCCAGATGCCCCTAGTCTCATTCATAGTCAAAATTCATACATTATTTTGGAGCTGACCGATAAAAATAAACCAATGGGATGTGTTTACCCCCGTCACCCGCTTCCTGTTTCTCGCAAATTTCTAAAACATAAAAATGCTAATTTCACGTTTGCCGCCCACTCTCTGGATGTTTGGTTTGGTGGAGAGGGGGGAGTGGTTTGGTGGAGAGGGGAGAGGAGGGGGGCGTGGTTTGGTGGAGAGGGAGGGGCCAGGTTTGGTGGAGAGGGAGGGGAGGGGAGGAGAGGGTGTGGGGAGGGGAGGAGAGGGTGTGGGGAGGGGAGGGGGAGGGAGTAGTTTTGAGTAGGTGCTATGGTTAAGCTAACAAAATCACTCACTGCACCTTTAACCGGAAGTATTACAAGTACCACGAGGTGAATATCTAGACAAAATGGCCGCCGATGATCCCCCTAACGCAGTGCCATCTCCAGCCTGAGACCGGGACGCTGTCAATACAGAAAGTGAATGAGTCATGGAAGCTAACGCATGTAGCTAGTCCTGCTCACATTAAGGTGCTCCTTATAGTCCAGAAAGTACAGTACATTCATTATATTTGACAGAACACTGAACTGAAATTTACATCTGAATCAGAACGACAGGGACAGGGCTGAGAGTCTGTGGTCCTTCTCTCTCTCTTTGTCTCTCTCTTTGTCTCTCTCCCTCTTCTTCTCTCTCTTCTTGTCTCTCTCTCCTTGTCTCTTCTCTTTTCTCCTTGCCTCTCTCTCCTCTTCTCTCTCCTCTTGCCTCTCTCCTCATGTTTCTCTCCTTTCATCTGTAATTTTGTTTTTCGTTGAGAAGCAGAGTTCTGTTGTTGCAATATTGTGACGTTTGTAAATTGTACAGTTCCCGGTTGTAGTAGTCGTTCTGTTAGTTTTAAATGAATGATTATTTGTTATTTTGTGGAAAACCTGTACAGCTCCAAAAGTTTATCCTCCTTAAAGTGTAAATACATATTATTGTGTTGAAATATGAATGTCACTTCAAATGTACGTGAATGAGTTTGTCGAGGGCTTGGATGGAGCCTTTCACTGGTTTGGTGTTTTCATTTGCAGGAAGTCCCGCCCCCTTTTTTATAATGACTGATGCCTTTGTCTTCTTCTTCTCGGATCATACGATGTGTCACCTGTATCTTTACTCACTTTCTATTCCCTCCACTGCTGAAGGGAAACAGTTTGCACCCTTTTTTATGTCAAATAAAAGAACTCTCTTGTTCCGCTGTTCGTGCTCTTCATTCTCAGCAATAACTGGTGAAAGATGCACAAGAAACACTAGAATTAGGGAAAATTTATCTTGAACCGTATTGTCCGGACTACAACTACTTTGATCTCTTTTATGGACTGAGAATTTTGAATTCAAGTTTCAGTAGCAACAAGAAGTGATGAAAGTGAAGAGTTCCGGAGTAATATCTTATAACGTACAGTGCCTTGCGAAAGTATTCGGCCCCCTTGAACCTTTCAACATTTCGCCTCATTTTCAGGCTTCAAACATAAAGATATTTAATTTTAATTTTTTGTCATGAATCAACAAGTGGGACACAATCGTGAAGTGGAACAAAATTTATTGGATAATTTAAACTTTTTTAACAAATAAAAAACTGAAAAGTGGGGCGTGCAATATTATTCGGCCCCTTTTACTTTCAGTGCAGCAAACTCAGTCCAGAAGTTCAGTGAGGATCTTTGAATGATCCAATGTTCTAAATGACTGTCCATCCATCCATTTTCTACCCTTTAATCCATTTCTGGGTCAGGGGGGTGGCAGTCAGCGATGCCACCCAAGTCTCATAGCACCAGCCCCTCACTGACCCTCTGCAGGTGGTGAGTCCACAGGAGGACGGCTGCTCTCTGAGTGTGAGCATAGCCTTGATCTTTCAGTGGGGGCTTTGGGCAAAGTGGGGTTAAGTGTCTTGCCCAAGGACACAACGACAGCAGTCATCAGTGGGAGTCGGTGAAGAAGGTGCAGAGGTGGGGATTGAACCCACGACCTTCTGGCCTTAAGGCCAATGCTCTACCAACTGAGCTACTGTCGCCCCTAATCTAAATGACTGATGATGATAAATAGAATGTACCTGTGTGTAATCAAGTCTCCGTATAAATGCACCTGCTCTTTGATAGTCTCAGGGTTCTGTTTAAAGCGTAGAGAGAACCATGAAGACAAAGGAACACACCAGGCAGGTCCGAGATACTGTTGTGGAGAAGTTCAAAGCCGGATGTGGATACAAAAAGATTTCCCAAGCTTTAAACATCTCAAGGAGCACTGTGCAAGCAATTATATTGAAATGGAAGGAGTATCAGACCACTGCAAATCTACCAAGACCCGGCCGTCCCTCCAAACTTTCATCTCAAACAAGGAGAAGACTGATCAGAGATGCAGCCAAGAGGCCCATGATCACTCTGGATGAACTGCAGATAACTACAGCTGAGGTGGGAGAGTCTGTCCATAGGACAACGAACTTTTTGTCCACAATGCAAAATGATATGTTTGGCGTAAAAGCAACACAGCTCATTACCCTGAACACACCATCCCCACTGTCAAACATGGTGGTGGCAGCATCATGCTTTGGGCCTGCTTTTCTTCAGCAGGGACAGGGAAGATGGCTAAAATTGATGGGAAGATGGATGGAGCCAAATACAGGACCATTCTGGAAGAAAACCTGTTGGAGTCTGCAAAAGACCTGAGACTGGGACGGAGATTTATCTTCCAACAGGACAATGATCCAAAACATAAAGCCAAATCTACAATGGAATGGTTCACAAATAGACGTATCCAGGTGTTAGAATGGCCAAGTCAAAGTCCAGACCTGAATCCAATCGAGAATCTGTGGAAAGAGCTGAAGACTGCTGTTCACAAACGCTCTCCATCAAACCTCACTGAGCTCGAGCTGTTTTGCAAGGAAGAATGGACAAGAATTCCAGTCTCTCGATGTGCAAAACTGATAGAGACATACCCCAAGCGACTTGCAGCTGTAATTGCAGCAAAAGGTGGCGCTACAAAGTATTAGCGCAAGGGGGCCGAATAATATTGCACGCCCCACTTTTCAGTTTTTTATTTGTTAAAAAAGTTTAAACTATCCAATACATTTTGTTCCACTTCACGATTGTGTCCCACTTGTTGTGTTTTCTTGACAAAAAATTAAATTTTATATCTTTATGTTTGAAGCCTGAAATGTGGTAAAATGTTGAAAGGTTCAAGGGGGCCAAATACTTTCGCAAGGCACTGTACCTTACAAATGTAATGCACATTTCAAGGTGCTTCAGTTGAAGTTCAAAACAGAATCAGTAGGCCTTCCACGGACTGGCGCCCTCTTGTGGCAGCATTCCACAGGAGTGGAACTGCTACAAAAAAGTCCTGTCCCTCATGGAACAAAGCCGTGTGATTGGCTGACTCGGTAGGTGTTTGTGGACCCAAGGGGATCGTAATGTGGACCGTAGGGATCTTTTTCAAAATGGCCGCAGGCAGCCCCTTCAGCAGGAAAATGTGAAAACGCATTCAGCAGAGGATAATTCTCTTTCTGGGTTCCCCCCACAGGCCCCCCAGGTATTGTAAGTATATAATGGCATGTGCTGATGGACCCGCCCACACTGGTCAGGTGACAGCTGTTCTGAATATGTTGCAGGGTTATATTGCACCAAACGGGGACTCCCGAAAATGGATGGATGGAAGGGGTATGTATAAAAAAACAAAAAACAATATAAGTCTTTATTATAGAACATAATTGTAGAGACTGGACCATGCAGTCATCAAGTCGACACCGTGTTTGTTGTAAAGTTCTGGACCCTTTATTCACGTGTCCTTCGTCACAGACTAATCAGGATGCACAGCCAAACGACAGCAGCACCCAGCTCTCCACGTCATCAGGGACCAGGGGCCACAGAGAAGTCAGACCAGGACCTCGGCCCTCGCTCATGTGGGCTCCTCAGGTGAGCATCTGTCTCCGAGTCACAGGATCAAAGAGGATCACCGTCTGAGCCACAGTGAAAGCTCCGTCTCTGATTTAAGTCTTAATCTAAAAAGTTCTCGGTCTGGATCTTCAAGTCCCGAGTTCATGTCTTCTGTAAATATTCTCCTCAGTCTTCAACCAAAAGAAAAACAAACTAAAATTGAAAGAAAGGAGTTTCGATATTAGGTCCTCTCTCAACAAAAGCATTTGATGTATGTAAAAGTTTCCTCATGGAACTTCTGTGGCAATTAATCCTTTTCTAATCGATAAAAGAAAATGTCTGTTGGAGATTGATTTTTTATTAATTCAACAAATGAGAACGTATTCTGCTTTTGGTCCAAAGGGAGTTTCATTATATATATTTAGGGAGAGCGCAGACGGAGTGGGAATATGAAGTAAAAAGTAAAAAGTGATTATGTTTTTAGTTCCTTTGCCTCTAATTATGGGTCTACCTGGAGGAAAGTGTGTGTTTGGTCTGTAAAGCTCAGCAGCTGCAGCACAGGGTTATGGTGCTTTCAGACCGGCAACGCTGAAACCCCGCTCATCAGACGCGCATTTTCTAGTTTTCAGACGCAGAGGACTTCACACCAGAATTCGTTCGTATTTTAGCAATTCATGGTCTGCCATCTTGGTATGCTTCGGCTGCCGTGAGACGCGCATGCGCAAGTTTGCATTGACCTGAGGCAGTGCATCTCTTCAAGGCAGTGTATCTCGGCGTTACACCTGCCGGCTACTTCCAGTACTTCTGGCTCGCGTCAGGACGTTCTGGTGTGAAGTCCTCTGCGTGTGTGTGTGCAGCGGAGACGAGAGAGGACAGAGAAAGGGCAAAAAGAGCCAGGTGTATGAAAAGTTTAGCGTATTAACATAACGCGAAAAACAGATTTATGATCAGGAAACAATTGTTTCAATTTAATACAGGAAAAAAATTACACACATTTGCTAATAATCATTGTCATTGACAAATTCTTATAACCAAGGACTCAATAGTATGTGAAAAAAATCTCTAAATGTCTTGAAACAGCGCTTCGCAAATGTACGGAATATTTTGAAGGATTGGAAGCTGGCGAGACTCTTGGTCCAATTCGATCCAGTTTTTCATGAGATCAGCTTTGCTTCATTTATGCCTGAGAAAAGATCAGAGTGGGCAGAATGTGTCCGGGAGGGAAACCGGGGGGAAAGCGCTTGTTAAAACCAAATTGGAGCCTGATTAGTTTTACAGATGGACCTCTGGTGGACTCTAACAATAACACATACTGCAGGTCAGGAAAACCCCGGGTCTAAGCGGTTTTCAGTTCAAAGCGGGGGTTCCAAATGTAAAAGTTGATGTGATAAAATCCAACATCAACAATAGACATTTCATCTTGAGGCAATTTAAAATAAAAATAGAATAGAGAACAACAGGCTGAATAAGTGTGTTGTATGAGGCATAAAGAACACACTGAGAACGGACGCGTCGCGGGCAGTGGAGCCACTTCCATTCACCCTCATGGAGATAACAGATGAAACGGACGGACACGTTTAGACTGATACGTAATACGTTTTACACAGCCGGTGGAGTTGGGGGCCTTAAGACTGAAGTGAGATCCTGTAGAGTCTGACTCTGGGTTCACAGGATGCAGCCTCAGCTCTGTCTCCTTCACTTTGGTCCAGATGCTTCAGACCTGCTTCTCTACAGACAAATGGTTTCTCTCCAGTGTGGATCCTCTGATGCACTTTGAGATTACTACTCTGAGAAAAACTCTGACCACAATCGTCGCAGCTAAAGGGCTTCTCTCCAGTGTGGATTCTTTTGTGCTTGTTAAGATTTGCTCTTTGCGAAAAACACGTTCCACACTGGTCACACTCGTACGGCTTCTCTCCAGTGTGGCTCCGATGGTGAACTGTGCGATGTGCTGCTGTTTTAAAAGTTTTACTGCAGAAGTCACATGCAAAGGGCTTTTCTCCAGTGTGGATTCTCTCATGTGCTTTGTAGGTGGAAGAGTGAGTAAACTTCTTCCCACAGTCTCCACAGACGAATGGTTTATCTCCAGTGTGGATTCTGTAGTGCACAGTGAGGACAGATAAACGTGTAAAAGTCTTTTCACACTGGTCACATTGGTGAGGTCTCTCTCCTGTGTGGACATGCTGATGTAGTGAGAGCAGCTGTTTGGTCCTAAATATTTTTTCACACTGGTCACACTCAAATGGTTTCTCTCCTGTGTGGATCCTCTGATGATCTTTGAGAGTACCCTCTTGTCTAAAACTCTGATCACAATCGTTGCAGCTGAAGGGTTTTTCTCCAGTGTGGATTCTGTTGTGGACCTTGAGACGTTCTTTTGTAGTAAAACATGTTCCACACAGATCACACTCGTATGGTTTTTCTCCAGTGTGGATTCTGTGGTGTCTCTTTAGATCAGAAGCAGAGCTGCAGGTCTTTCCACACTGATCACAGGTGAACCCCATTCTGTAGATGGACTTTGTAGATCTGCAACAAACACAACAAAGACACGTCAAATAATTATAATACTGTAGAAGCTGATATTAAACTACAGTTGAACCTAGACAAAATCGCACACAGAAACAGGCGTAGTCAGGCTTTCTTTTTACTTGTTACCCAGTTGAAGACACACCCTCATATGCAGATAGGAGTGGAAGAACCAACAGAACAAAGGACAATGACACGACTTTCCTTATTAGCACGTTCAAAGGCCTGCTTCCGCTGGTAAGTGGATTAAAAGGGACTCGGGAGCGGGACTCGGGGCGGATGGGAAACGAGCAGAGTTTGTGACAGTTAAGTGTGGATTTCAAGAAAACTGAAGGATTTAAGAAGTTCAGGATGACAAGAGACACTAAAATCCCCTCAAAATCCCTCTGTGCACATGGTGGAACAGCTATAAGCTAGTAATACCCTATATCCAGATATTATTGCTATATAGGAGCCACTTCAGTCCTGGGTCTACAGCCACAGACCCCATATTAACCACTTTGCAACAACCGGCGCGCCGGCGGCCGTTTTTATGTTTTTAAATGTTCTGCTGGCAATAGCAGATGTATTTTGAACACAAAACCCCAAAGCTGTATATCATTTTAAAGCTTATTTTCTTATCTACATTTATATACAAGTGTAAACTACATCAGACTTTGCATTCAAAAGATATAACACATAATGTGGGCACAAAATAAATCAATTCCGAAATAGTTTTTTACCTTTGGGCTTGTGCTGTACAAATAAATCAGCTCTCCTCCCAGCTTGCAATACATCATTCTCTCTGGAACAGTCCAAAGGAAAATTATATCCACTTGTATTTCCCAAAGTAAAATCCATTCTGCAGAAATAATCCAAAAATGTGCAGCAACTCTTTGTTATTTATCACTATAGCCACCTGCGATTTCCTCCATATCAACTTGCTCATCATCCCGTACTTCAACTCTCCGGAGCTCTTGACTTAATCCTGTTGAAGTCTTCTTGGTCTTTTTAGAGTATGGATGCATTTCCACTGTTGTAATTGCTCGTCCTGTTTCAATAACCTTGTCATCGTCATCCTTGACGTGATATCCACCTCCTTGAGTCATTACTGGAAGCTGTGGATATGGGTCAGTGTACTTTAGAGTTTTCTCATAAGCCGGTGGTTGCTGCACATGTGAGAAAGGTGCATTAATCTTTATTATCAATTTTTCAGTGGCTTTTTCAACATCACGACATTCTTCCAGAGTTTTTGCTCTCTTTTCTTTGGCATCTTTCACAAGCTTTCTTGCTTCAATTTCAAACAATTCGAGCGTTCCAAGTTCAATCCGACGTTTCTCAGTCCTTCGTTGCCCTCTACGACCTTTTTTCTGTTCTGATTTGTATGTAGACACAAGAACCTTAAGAGTCTCAATAACTCCAATCGAAAATGTTCCCTCAGCAGGCCAGGGAAATTCGATTCAATTACACGTATGAAATGTAATGATCAAATAATTTCCCCTTACCCTTCAACTATAAAACAACACCAAATCAACTCTAGGATAGTCGCTATATGTTAAGTACCACAGATCAGGTTCCCCCCAACTTTATTTATCCTTTAAATAAAATCAATACAATTAATTTATTAATTAGATTTTAATTAATCTATTTATTTATTTACTTTCCTGTAATTAGCAACCAATATTTGATGACTAACTCTTCATTGATCACTATGTGTTTTCCACTATTGTAACCATAAAAAATTGCGTTTATCTACCAATAAATTGCAATGGTGTGCGTCTAATTGAATCAAAAACAATACGGTAGGTCTACAATTTTGAGCGAAAATTAATTAAAATAGGTTGTATTACTCAATCTGAAATATTTGGGTTTGACTAGATAAATGTTCAGGAAAGTAGCTCAGTCTGCTGCCAAGTCATGTGTTATTATACATTGAATTTTAGAAAGTATATATCTGCCAAATGTTTTCTTGTGTAGATGCAGATGTGGATAGAACGATAATTGCACTAGCCTGTTTTAGCTGAAATAGTGCAGTTTGTGTTCGAGGTCACAGGTCCAGGCGTTGTTGAGAGATGATGGATTTCCTCCTTTCTGCTTCAGACCAGCGCTAGGGCCACACGGTGTCTCTTCACGCTCTCACTTCCGTGTTCTCATTCATCACAAAAGAGGAGGGAGAGAAAACAAACCAAAAATTAATATGACACTTCCATAATGGCTTGCTTGTACAAACTTAAATGGACACACGTTAACCTGCATCCAATAAATCAATGGCATCCCTTTATAACACTGCCTGAACACAAACCACCCACAAATGCCAAACAATCACCGACCAACCAAGCACCCAGCACCAACAAATGCCCAATATACATCAACAAACAACCATCCAAACTTCAACAATCCATCAACAAGCGACGCCCACAACTGCCCAGGCTTGATCACCACCCACAGATGAACAAACAATCTGGTCCAATGAGTACCAGACTACCCGCTCAACAGCAAGCAATGACCACCCAAACAGCCACAAACATCACCCCCAATGAACCGCCAATGCTCAGAAAATCATCCACCAATGTACACCAGACATCCGCCAATGCCAAGCACCCAACCAGTCAATGACCACCCAGCACCCATAAATGATCTCTATCAAACAGTACAACAAGCACCAACCAATCAATTATCAACACGGATTTCCCATGAATGTTCACACGACAATACTCCATCAATCTATTATCTTATCACGTACCATACAATATACCTTACTATGTTATCAGTAACTATCCCTAGCACTCCTCAGGAAAGTACTAAATTATCTGATGTTGTACGGCTAATACCAACCATAACACAAAATGGTGGCTATTATATATTACATAAACACCTAATGGACCTTCCACCCCTGGAAGGAAGATAATATAACTAAAAATAGACGGGCCTTCACACTCACAAACAAACAAAACCAAATAACAAAAGTGTACTGTAAGTGCACTTGTGCTCACAAAATACCAGCTTTTGTGATTGCAAGCAACAAAAATCAAAAATCCTTAAACCCAAAATCTAAAATAATCTGTGGGGAGTCTGGTACATTACCAAACTAAAATTTACACACAAAAATGGATTGTTAAGGACCTCTTTTTCTTTTCCTGGTTTCAAACAGCGGGGCGACAGTAGCTCAGTTGGTAGAGCATTGGCCTTTGAGCCTGAAGGTCATGGGTTCGAGCCCACTGTAAGACCTATTTCACGACTCCCACTGATGACTGCTGTCGTTGTGTCCTTGGGCAAGACACTTAACCCCACTTTGCCTGAAGCCCCCACTGAAAGATCTCAGCTCCTGTGGACTCAGCACCTGCAGGAGGATTGGTGAGGGGCTGGTGCTCTGTGGACTGGGTGCAGCTCTGACTGCCACCCCCCCGACCCAGAAATGGATTAAGGGGAAGAAAATGGATGGATGGATGGATGGTTTCAAACAAATTTCAAAAATGGTTAACCATATAATCTCATTACCAAATTACTTTCATCAGTGAATTGTTTGTCACTGGTTCCACCCCTTTTTTATTTATTTTCGTCAATGCAGCAAGCATTAATCAAATAACTAGTACTAGTCAGATTTAAGCAGAATGGGAGACAAGGGAAGGAAAGGCTGCTCCAGCAGAGCAGGAGGGAGGGGCTGCTCCAGGGAGGGGCTGCTCCAGGGAGGGGCTGCTCCAGGGAGGGGCTGCTCCAGGGAGGGGCTTCTCCAGCAGAGCAGGGGAAGAAAGAGGAAAACTGTGAGTTTGCAGAAAGGAGGCAAACTCACTCACACTTCAGGCCTTTATCTAAACTTCACTGTACAGTCAATTCAAATAACATATTTTAATCCAAATTAGTCAGACTTTGTCCTGGGCCTCAGGTAACACTATTTAAGAATCTAAATTTAGCTTGAATTTGTTTCTAACTGATGGATCATAAGTCAAAGCTATTGTCAATTCATCATGGCCATGAAACTGACAACAATAACCACGTCCATAAAACTACTGCTAAGGCTTTTAGAGACACCATTTTAGACACACTATAGACACACTGGACCTCATTTGACAACGTTCAACAAACTTCTGGCAAGGTTTAAACTAAAAACTTTTAGGGGACTGTAACTGGTGTTATGGGTTGTGAGTCTGAGTTAGATAGAGTCCAGTGTCGGCCTTGAGTGGCCCATGTGTGGGTGGTGGAATGTGAAGGACAAAGATAGCGCAGGTGCCTGCAAACAAACAAACCAGACAAAACAACACATGCCTTGTGGGAAATTTGTATAAGCACTTTAGCTGATCAATGAAAGGCAGTGTAAACTAAAGCCAATATGTCCAAATTATACTGGAACATGTTTGAAGAACATGTTTGGATCTGCTCAGAACATGTTTGGATCTGTTCAGAACATGTTTGGATCTGCTCAGAACATGTTTGGATCTGTTCAGAACATATTTGGATCTGTTCAGAACATGTTTGGATCTGTTCAGAACATGTTTGGATCTGTTCAGAACATGTTTGGATCTGTTCAGAACATGTTTGGATCTGTTCAGAACATGTTTGGATCTGTTCAGAACATGTTTGGATCTGTTCAGAACATGTTTGGATCTGTTCAGAACATGTTTGGATCTGCTCTCACACCTCTTCATTCTGGAAGACTTCAGTGGATTCATCGTTGACCATATTTATAAAGACTTTTCTTTAAAATGGGAAAATGTGATCTTTTGTTTTTTTTGGAAGGCATAAAAAGGATGTTTTTTTCATTATAAATTTATTGATTATACAGACCAAATATTTCATTCATAAATGTAAATGTAGCAGCAGAAGCCTTTAGACATTTCTACAATGACTTTTTGTTGTAGATCAAATTGATAAGTGGCGTAACTAACAAAAAAGCTGTAAGGACTATTGACATTTGTGCTGCGTACAATTTGACTGTACATGATTATTATTTTTTTCGCTTTAACCCTCTGGCTATCTGTCAATCTGTATGTTGTATACCTGCACTTTTGAAGAAATAAATTCATGTTAAAAAAAAAAGTACTGCTTTGGATCCGCTCAAACTTTGTGGGTTTGTCTTGATTAAATTTGTGAGTGAGATAATATAAATGATATACATATATAACCAATAAACTGAGAAATTATTGGTTTTAAACAACTGATAGGGTCACAATTTTCTTTTGTCTATTGGATTTATTTCATTCATTTGACTTCTAACTTCAATCTATAATCATTAATTATTACGTGTGTGTGTGTGTGTGTGTGTGTGTGTGTGTGTGTGTGTTAGAGCAGTTACCAGTACATCATAATCTAATCATTTACAATATATTCGTTATTACTACTGATGTTAATTATAATCAAACAGATGAATAAAAGTCATACACAATCAAGTTACATTTTTATTTCTGTTACCAGTATTAATTCTATGCACCCAGAGCCTCGAACAGTTAAAATGTCAATACAGATTTTGTCCACCAGGGGGTTTGTGAGCATATGAAGCCCCAAGAAATGAACCTTTTCTAGAACCAATAATGGAAAAGTTCATCACTTCATGAAGCTTCATTAACCCATCGCTAGGAGACGATATACTTTACTGATGCCCGTAGGAGACACTCCGGTGTCCAGCAGAAAAACTACAAAATAAAATGGATAATTCCAAACTCCTGTTCTGAATATGTTGAAGGGTTATTTATTTTAAAAAAATCTAAAAATAAAAGTCTTTATTATAGAACATAAATGTAGAGACTGGACCATGCAGTCATCAAGTCGACACCGTGTTTGTTGTAAAGTTCTGGACCCTTTATTCACGTGTCCTTCGTCACAGACTAATCAGGATGCACAGCCAAACGACAGCAGCACCCAGCTCTCCACGTCATCAGGGACCAGGGGCCACAGAGAAGTCAGACCAGGACCTCGGCCCTCGCTCATGTGGGCTCCTCAGGTGAGCATCTGTCTCCGAGTCACAGGATCAAAGAGGATCACCGTCTGAGCCACAGTGAAAGCTCCGTCTCTGATTTAAGTCTTAATCTAAACAGGTCTCGGTCTGGATCTTCAAGTCCCAAGTTCATGTCTTCTGTAAATATTCTCCTCAGTCTTCAACCAAAAGAAAAACAAACTAAAATTGAAAGAAAGGAGTTTCGATATTAGGTCCTCTCTCAACAAAAGCATTTGATGTATGTAAAAGTTTCCTCATGGAACTTCTGTGGCAATTAATCCTTTTCTAATCGATAAAAGAAAATACACACAATCCACAATTTATTCTTGTATAGCCCTAGGTCACAACAGAAGTCATCTCAGAGGACTTAACAAAACCATTGAAATCACCAACACAGGTCAGAGAATCAACAGTTAAAACACATGAAGAATATAGAACACACACAGAAGAAAATGTCCATACATGTTGTAGAATGCTAAAGTGTCCTGATCATCACCAATCCTTTCTGTTGGACACTAACTGTCCAACAAGACCCTCCTGCATCGACAAGGAACAACTCTTAAAAAACCCAGTGGGAAAAAGTGAGAAACCTTGGGGAGAACTAGGGAAACCCACAGGGAGGGAGACCCATTTGAGAAAGGGATCCGCTCCTCCGGACGGACAGGCTAATGATCCAGGACCTAAGCTAGCTACAGGACGTGGACCAGTGTCCGCTGAACGTGGACAGGTCCGGTGCAGGACTGAAGCACTCCCAGGCGGGTCGGGCGGGGCAGTCCGCAGGTGTAGATGGAGGAGGCCAGGCTCAGAGATCCCGTCATCGTACCATGAAACAGACAATGGGACAACGGGTGAATAGCAATGAACAAACTACAGTCAAAATCCTAATAATGCTAAACAGATAAAGTAGGAAGGAGGAGAGGATAGTGCAGTTACCATACTTCTCCAGCAGGGGGCTCCCTATGCAGCTTGACTGACAGTCTGAGGAGTTTAGCCTTCCCTGAGTCTTACCTTCCTAACCATGTGCTAAATTAAAGAGGACTGTTTTAAACCTAGCCTTGAATAAAGAGAGCGTATCTGAAAGGAGGCGAGACAGCAGCAGCCACGGCTAGGCTAGCCCAGGTTACAGCACCAAGATTCATGGATTGCACACCAGGTGTGCAAACCGATCCAGGCAAACCTAATTATATATTATATATCATATATATCACATGTACCATACTTATTATATATATTATATATAATACATAACATAACATACAGCATAATATATAACATAATATACAACATAACACAATACACAACATAATACATATATTGTATAATATATAACATAATATATAACATAATACATATATTGTATAATATATAACATAATATATAACATAATACAGCATATATATATATAATATATACACCATATATTATATATTACCTAATTATATGCTAAATTAAAGTAGAGTGCTTTAAGCCTGGCCTTCCACAGTAAAGGAGCTTGGTAGCTAAATGCTCTGCCGCCAACAGTGATTTTTGAGACCTTAGGAACCACCAGACGTCTGGCGTTTTGTGAGCGCAACGCTCGACTTGGTTGATACGACACTAACGTGTCTTGGAGATAAGAAGGAGCCAAGCCATTTATGGCTTTATATGTTAAGAGTAGGATTTTAAACTTTATTCTGTACTCCACAGGGAGCCAGTGGAGTGATTTTAACACCGGAGTTATGTGCTCCCTCCTTTTGGTCCCTGTTAAGATCCTAGCTGCTGTATTCTGAACAAGCTGGAAGCTCTTCAAAGACGCTTTAGGGCACGCTGCCAATAAAGCGTTACGGTAGTCGAGCCTTGAGGTGACAAACGCGTGAATAATTTTTTCCGCGTCACTTTTAGGAAGGAAATTCCTGATTTTAGCGATGTTCCGTAAGTGGAAGTACGCCGTTTTAGTTGCTTGGCTTATATAAGCCTTGAAGGAGAGTTCTTGGTCAAAAATGACTCCAAGATTCCTCACAGTGTTACTGGGTATAATACTGACATTATCAGAGTAATTATCTGGTTAGTGAGGGAGTCACGCAGGCGCTTCGGACCGAGTAGGATCACTTCTGTCTTCTCCGGGTTGAGAAGTAGGAAGTTAAGGGTCATCCACGTTTTAAGGTCCTTTATGCAGCACTGAGCTTTTCTAGCTGATCTGTCTGATTTGGCTTCATCGACAGATAAAGCTGTGTGTCATCTGCATAGCAGTGGAAATTAATTCCATGCTTTTTAATAATGTTTCCTAACGGCAGCATGTAGAGAGTGAAAAGAATCGGTCCAAGTACCAAACCCTGCAGCACACCGAATTCTACTCCAGAATAAGGCGACGAGTTCTGATTTACGTTGACGAAGTGATACCGATCTGATAAATAGGATTTAAACCAGCCAAGGGCTGTTCCTCTCAGACCTATATCACATTCTAGCCTTTCATTATGATTTTATCTTACGGCGCAGGAAAGTCCTCCAAATCGAGATCAAACGTGATCAAGAAATGGTCAGACAGCAACGAGCTTTGACGCTGGATGTCAACATTGGAGACATCACAGCCGTAGGTCAGGACAAGGTCCAAGGTGTGGTTATGAATGTGAGTAGGTTCCTCGACATTCTGAGTAAAACCAACACCATCTAGTACGGCGCTGAAAGCTTTGTTTAAGCTGTCAGTGCTGTCGTCCACATGTATATTGAAGTCTCCAGTTATAACTATGTTTTCCCATTCCAAAACTAGGTTTGAAATGAAGTCAGAGAATTCTGTTAGGAACTCGCTGTAAGGACCAGGAGGTCGGTATAAAACTATAAATAGCACCGCTTTTTGTTTTCTCCACCCAGGACAGGTGATTGAAAGTGTTAAGTTTGCAAACGAGTGAAAAGCATTGTTGGTTTTGGGACTAAGAAGTAAGTTGGTGTGTGATATAATCGCAACACCACCGCCGCGACCTGTAGTTCTGGCTTTCTGGTAGTTAACATGCGTCGGAGGAGTGCACTCATTCAATCTAACGTAGTCGTCCTGTTGGAGCCAAGTCTCCGAGAGCGCAAACAAATCCAAGTTTTTGTCTATAATAAGTTCGTTTATGAGAAGCGATTTAGACCAGATTGATCTGACGTTCATTAATCCACATTTAACAACCCTACTTTTAGAACTATTTCTGTCTGTCTGAACTTTTATTAAGTTACTGTGTCTGACACCCAGGTCAGATTTCCTAAATCAAACCCAACGCTTCCTTTTCTATTTGGGAATATTTCTTTTCAGCTGGGGAAAGCGTGCGTGAAGCATACGCTATTGGTCTTTCTTCCCCATTTGGCATTGTGTGCTGAATTACTGCTCCGATGCCATATGCAGATGCATCACATGCTAAAGTGAGTGGTACATTTGGGTCATAATGAGCTAAGACCTGATCACTTGTTAGCAAGTGTTTGCATTTGGTAAAAGCTGCTTTCTCTCTCTCAGTCCATTTCCATGTTTCTTGTGCTCTGAGTAACCTGCACAAAGGGGCAAGTACTGTACTTTGCATTGGCACAAATCTACCATAGTAGTTCACTAAACCTAAAAATACTTGCAACTCTTTCACATTTGAAGGAGCAGGTGCTTCCTGTATTGCCCTCACCTTATCCTCTGTCGGATGGATGCCTTGTTGATCCAACATGTGTCCCAAATAGGGATGTAAATCGGTGACCGTTTAACCGATGGTTGACCGTCACAACGTTAACCGGTCAAAGCTGTCGGTTAAAAAAGAGAAAAAGGGGAGAGGGGAGGTCTTTTCATAACGCTATTTTAAGCCCTATTTGCATGGGGTGACGAGCGGGTCCGTATCTAGCTGTGTGCGGCAATGTATCAGTAAACTCTGGGCCGACTCTAATAGGGCGTTCACACCACCAACGCTGAAACGCTGAAGCCCCGCTCACCAGACGCGCATTCTCTAGTTTTCAGACGCAGGGGTCTTCACACAAGAACGTCCTGACGCGAGCCGGAAGTACCGGAAGTAGCCGGCCGGCTCTGATGCTAACAGAGCTATGCTAGCGGCTTCTTGTGTACAGATGTTCTCCAATATGCAGCTTTGCCGCGTGTCTTTGCTCACAGACATTCCATCGGCTTCATATAACAGCAGTATGTGTTCACGGAGGTGCGCCATACGTTTTTTCATATTATGAAACGGAATTTCCACATCGGCGAACACACTCAAAGCAGTTGCATAAGGTCACGGGAGCATGACAATGCATATTTTCACAAGCACAGAGTCCCCCATTGTCAACCCTGGTTTGAGTTCTGGTGAAATCTGGTGTGGGTCCTGTTTTGGCTGTTTATGAGTATTTTCAGTCTGCTCTCTCAGTCCGCTAATGTCCCTGTGACCACTTTGCTGCTCTCTGATTGGTTGTCGCACGAACGTCCCAAGGAAAGGATGAGCAGAATCTATCTCCTGTGGGCGTCCATTTTTTGCTCCTGCTCCTCCCTTTTCACTTTCCCGCCAAGTCCGTGCGTCTCTACTGAACAGTCCGTTCGTGCGAACCGAGCGGTCTGTGCGTTGCGACGGCCGAACGCGCGTCACCTTAGACTTTGCATTGACAACCGACGCAACGTATGATCCGGTCTGAAAGCACCATGAAGCCGCACGCGCCACATATGCACGCACACATGCACACGCGCGCACACACACACTTTCGATACGTAACATCCACACGCATCATCTCTCCCCTCTGTTACCGCCTGCTAGTGATGGCAATATGAAGCCCCATGAAGCCTTGAGGGATCGCAGCCTATTACTCGGCCCATGAGTCGAAGGCTCGAGGTGAATCATGCTCCACTACGCCATCATGTGGACAAAGAAATACATAACACTCTTAAGTGCTTACAATGAATGGTGAGATCTAATATTAAAATGTATATTTACAATCTATGGTCTAACGTGTTGTGTTTGAAATGATGCATCATGAACTATGAACTATTTGAGTCTTTCAGTCAATTGTGTTGATACAACAAACACATCCAAAGTAATACAGTTCTACAGAAAGTGATTAATGGAGGAAAAACTACCAAGAGG